TATGCCACACCCTTGCTTCGAGTGAAAGATGGTACACAATTCCATGCAACTGCCGAGTCAATGATGCCAAACCTAAGAAGGACTGAGAAACGTTTGGAAAATCAGCCTGATTTAGCAGAAGTGCACAACCGACTTATCCACAACTTAATTGATGCAGGATCTGTGAAACTGATTTCCAATGATGAAGCAGAAGGTAGTAAAGAGTCCTGGTACATCCCACACCATCTTGTACATCACAACGATAAATACAGACTTGTGTTTCACTGCTCGTACGAGGTTAATGGACAGAACCTGAACAAGAAGCTCCTGCCAGGTCCCCAGATCGGATCATCTCTACTTGGTGTATTATTGAGGTTTCGACAGAGCCCTGTGGCAATCTCAGGAGATATTAAAGGTATGTTCCACCAAGTGAGACTGCTGGACAAGGACAAACCTCTCTTGAGGTTCATATGGCGTGATCTAGAAGGTGATAGAGAATCTGGATGTATACCAATGGGAAGTCCTGCCTTTTGGAAAACATGTAGCCCTTGTTGTGCTACTTTCGCACTCAGGAAACATGCAACTGATCACAGAGATGGAAATGAAAATGTCTACCAATCCATCGCAAATGCCTATTATGTTGACAATTGCCTCCAGAGTGTGCCTACCATAGACTGAAGCTAAAGACCTTGTCCACCGAATGAGTTCCGTGCTCGACGAAGGAGGATTCCATCTCAGACAATGGGCAAGTAATATGTCCGATGTGGTATCAGGAGTGCTTCCTGAAGACAGGTCCTCGGATTGTGAATTGTGGTTGACCCTTGATGATTGTCAGCCCTGTGAGGGTGCCCTTGGTCTGAGATGGCATTGTGAATCCGATGAACTGTACAGGGAGATACAGGGAGATACCATATGACTGCTTGAGCATGAGGGTCATTTACCGCATCATGGCCAGTCAATACGACCCGCTTGGGTACATCGCACCATACACTGCACGAGCAAAGTGCATTGTTCAGGACCTTTGGAACAAGAAGAGGGACTGGAATGCACCACTAGAATCAGGAACCCAACGTGATCTGTGAGCAGACTGGGAAAGTGAACTGAAGGACATAGTACACATCAGGTTACCCAGATATTATACACCGTTGCACATTGACCCAAGAACTGCATCCAGAGAACTCATGTATTCTGTGATGCTTCTGAGAGATTGTATGGTTCAGTTGCCTACTTGAGAACAGAGACTGAAGATAGAGAGATATTTGTGAGTTTCGTTCAGTCCCGCTCCAGAGTGGCACCAAAACGTCAACAGTCAATTCCAAGACTTGAATTATGTGCTGCTTTGACAGGTGCACAACTTGCAAGTGTGCTTCAGAAAGAAATAATCCTTCCAATTGCCAATGTGATTCTGTGGAGCGACTCCACAACAGTGTTGACATGGCTGAAGTCCGAGTCGTGTCGATACAAAGTGTTTGTCGGTACTAGGATATCAGAGATTCAGACCCTAACTAACGTGACACAGTGGCATTATGTGGACACTCAGGACAATCCAGCAGATGACGTCACACGAGGGAAAACACTCACAGAACTCAGTGTGGACTCACGTTGGAAACTAGGTCAACCCTTCCTGTCATTGCCACGCCATAAGTGGCCGACCAAGAAGGTTCTGAGGTAATTAATGACACAGTGGAGCTGAAGTCAACATTCTGTGCTACTGCTGTGGTATCAGATCTGAAGACAGTAGATCCAGCTGAATGTACCAGTTGGGACGAACTTGTGACGAAAACCATGGAGGGTTTTGATGAGGCGGCCGAACCTGCTGAACAGCGAAAAGCCACAGAACTGCAATTACTGCGAGATGTACAGTTGCAATGTTTCCCTGGTGATCTTGCAGTACTTTAGAATGGTGAGAGATTACCTTCAAAGAGTCGACTAATGCAGCTCGACCCTGTGTTCGACAAGCAATTACAGCTAATCCGCGTTGGTGGACGACTCTGCCGCTCTGAGGAACTTTCAGATGACACCAAACACCCTATTGTGCTTGACCCTAAACATCCGACAACCCGTCTGCTCATTAGCAAATATGACACTGACTTGTTACACTGTGGAGCGGAGCGTGTGTTTGCCGAGATTCGGCGAAGTTATTGGATTTTACGAGGACGAGAAGCTGTTTGTTCCCACCAGAGAAAGTGTGTATTCTGTCAGAAATGGCGGGCAAATCCACAAGTTCCCAAAATGGCAGATTTGCCACCAGCACGCTTGAGACTCTTCAAACTGCCTTTTTTTTCCTGTTGTGATGGTCTTAGACCCGCAGAGTGTTAGAGCTGCATGGCAGGTCGGTAGAGTAAATGAGACTTTCCCAGGGGTTGACGGTAGGATTCGATCAGCTGCTGTTCAGGTTGATGGTCAGCGGATCCTGAGACCTGTCTGTCCACTTATCCTACTACCTGTGTGCCCTGACGAATAACAGATCGTGGACATGTCCTGTGCTGATGATAGAGACATTATTAGGTAATCGTTTATTTTCAAATTTGTGTCAAATTTGGGGGCGGCTGTCGAGAAGCATCCCTATGCCCGGATTTCAATTTATCTGCAACTCGTCCGGTTAACTGAGGACTGTGTTGTTTTTCCGGATTTTTCTTTTGGTACTGTACATTATGGGTAATACACGAGACAAGAGAGCACGTGTCCTGTTTTGCCTTGAAGTTGACAACCACTTGACTGAGAAGTGCCCTGACAGATTTTTCACTAGTGATATGGCAGCAATTTTAGGAGCATGTCTTTGTAACATGAGACGCATAAATGAAAAATTCAGATGTTCCACTTGGGCAATACCCGCTTCTGATGGTGCTGAAGTCCATCCAGAATCTTCCAACAAGTCTCCAACCATTTTCCATAAGGCTATTTCAATGTGAAGACCTCCAAGATTGATAGTGTACACATCTTCACCAAACACATTAGGCCATCTCCATTGAACATATTTTGCTAGCAAAATGTGGTTGGGCTATAACCATGACTTGGAGTTGTTGCAATGTTCTGTGACTGTCTTGATAATAAACATACCATGCCTAACCATGGCAAGACTTGTGGCTTTATCCTTAAAGAAGAGGAAGGAGAGAACTTATTCCTGCTGCAACCTGTTCCTGGGATTGACGAGAAGCATGAAATGCACCAGGCAACTCATCCTTTTCCAAATGTTCTTCAGCAAGAAGGCCAATGCAGTGCTTGATCCAAGATTCTTCTGTAGCTTTGGTGATCTTGTCCTCGACTTGATGATGAGTTACAGGCACATTAACTCTCTCCACATTGCAGGCTACTGCAGGAACTATACAGTTACTGCCTGGAAGTGTAGGTTTGGAAGAGCTTGAAATAGTGTCTATTGAAAAAGGTTTTCCGCTGTTACAATTATCAACAACATTATCAAATGTGGTGGCAATTTCTGAGCCTCTATGCTCAAAGAAGTGCATTTAAAAATCTTCTCAACTTCTATGCACATCGCTTTGTAACTTCAATGGGAACTGTTAAAGGAGACTTCAGAATCACAGATATCGATGTTTGACAAAATGTTGTCACGTGACTGATCAAAACAGTAACTTATTCATTAATTGGATGATGAATTGTATCTTTTACTACTAAACATAAATCTTGTTTGTTATATTTCTTGAAAGTATTAGAAATAGCCCTTTGAACGGCGAATATATCTCACATATTGCATGAAATAAATATTTTTTTATAGTCGGCCACCATTCTGGGTGGACTTCAGCACTCTTTGATTTTTGGTGGCCGTCTTGGATTTTTGGAAAATAGGCCCAAACATTCGGGCACACCCCCAAAATAAGCCTTAGCATGATGTTCCCTAGCACTGTGCAAGGTTTTCTGCTTTAATCCAGCGGGGAAAAGTCACAATAGTGTTAGAATTGGAAATCCTTGATTTCTGGTGGCCATCTTGGACACCATCTTGGATTTTTCGAAAAATGGGCCCATAAAACCGGGCACCCCCCAAAAATATGTTTTATCATCATGTTCCCAAGCACTGTGCAAGGTTTTCTGCTATAATCCAGCGGGGGAAAGTCATATGGTGTTATATTAAAGTTTTCGGAAAATGTGCCCCTAAAATCGGGCACCCCCAAAAATATGTTTTATCATGATATTCCCCAGCACTATGCAACGTTTCATGCTTTAGTCCGGCAAGTATCTATTTTAACCCTAAGCCACTGCACTATACAAGTATATAGTTGATGATGAATGCATAATTAGGTCCGTCACCAACATCTCTCAGCCTTGCGAAGTGCAATCTTGAACTCTAATCCATATATGAGGGAGTATTTTGTCTCAGTGGGATTAGATTTCTTTGGATAGGATCATGTTTCTCGATTTAAGACTTGGAGTCATTGCTAAAAGCTTGAACAAGCTCATTCAGTGACCGATCAGAGATATTTACCAAGCTGTTGAGGAGAAGCCTTTTGTGGAATGAAGAACTCCCGGTTGGAGATTCTGCCCTGTGGATGACCGAAGGTCTAGCTGTCTGAGCACATCAGAGATCACGCTAGGGGTGTGTTTGGTACGAGCTTTGATCTTCATAGGAGCGAAAACAACTGACGAATTGTCTTATTGAATCCTCAGCTGTGTGGGATTGAAGAATCTGTCACCAATGTAAGATCGCCAGAATGATCACTGCTCAGAATTCCATTTCATGGATGTGGAGCCTCCCTTTTCTGTGGACTGCATTTGCCACATGTTCACAATTATCACCCATCCAAATTTATGAAGCAACAATCTTATCACGGCCAGGGGATAGAAAGGATCATTGGGGATGCGTGAGCGTCAATACAATAATTAATGTAAGCTTCGAATACGATCCCTCTTCGATAAGAGAACTGTGTGCTTGGATTCATTAAGCGGAGTCTCGGATATGCCATAACGCAGCACCCAATACCTGGGTGTGTACACCTTGAAAAGAGAAACAGAGATAGCGTCTGTGCTCTGAATGGATCGGGACGCATAGATTGCCGCCTTGGAGGTCCAAACTTACGAGTGATGAGTGTTCGTAGAAGGCCTCTGTAAACTATTCTGAAGTGATGTATTTCAAGGTCTTCATTATGAAGATCAAGCATATGGCCTCGGATTCCTTTTTGGGTATTAAGAAGACTTGGGAACAGCTAGTGACCTAACGATTCTAGAGAGTTGTCAACAGTGCTGGGGGATACTCCTGCTATGTGAGCAACCTGGTCAAGGGATGCATGGCAACGAGCAGTAGATGGTATCCCTCTCCGAGAACGTTGATCCAACTTCCTCCAGATGTCTTAAGAATAGAAGATAGGGATGGCTGGGACAGAAGATCCCAGCCCATCTGCTTTATTCAACAGTGGTGACACTGGGTAGAGCAGTCCAGTTTAGCAGCTGATTTTCCTTGATACATAGTCTGTGTCGGATCATTGAAGACACCTGTAGATTTATCAAACTGTCTCTAGCGGCCATGTCCTTCATGGCCCCCGCTGCCATCAAAGAAATTGTTCCTGGCTGCTCTGAGATATGGGTTTGCTGCAGATGAGCGATGGGTGTCGGCTTTTGCCTCTGAAATGTGATTGCTCCATTAGGAGCTGGTTCTCCCCTCCAACTTCTCAGTATTGATGTCACAATGGTTTTCTATTAGGATTTAAAATCAGTCTGTCTCTGAAATCTTCTGGACAGTGAGAGGAATCCATCCTTTACCTGGTGTCAAGCATAACAGCCTTCGGAGGAAGACATCAGATCTTCGTTTTCCATACAGACCATGCAACATGATTCATTCCCGCAATAGGCTCTTCTTAGACCCAGTTTTCTCAGCAAAACATGTGTTGTTGTTCTAGGCCGATTCCGGCTGTTGTTATCGGAGTCTGGAATTGACACCAATGATGTTGAAGTAGAGTAAGCAAGTGACTGCAAGTTCGGTCAAACTATTGCACCATCAAGAAGTCAATCGTTCGATCCTATCTATCACTTCCTGGGCCATTGCTGGTTTAGTCGATCGTCAGCACGATCCCTATGATGAATACCCAATCCCGTCTTTCACTTCCAGTCCTAATGCCAATCCCCTGGATGTTCCAACACTCAAAACGGTGATCATCCGAACCGACTGTTGATCCTCCCTATCCAGTTGCCTATCCTGCAGGTCATCAGTGCGATCCTAATGGAGAATGGCAGCTGCTGACCTATCCTAAGAGCATGGTTGATCCTTCAACCTCATCACGTTCCTGGAGAGACAGGTCTTCATTTTCGCTCATGTCATATCGTCCACCTCAGAAGACGACTGCAGACTGCGACGAAGCTGGACTAATCGATCTATGCGTTGCATCAAGAAAGCTCACACTGCCGGGGAAACTTTCCACGTCTTGTATTTCTTGGGAGTAGTGTAGCAGGGAGTGGTGTCATTCGACAGATGCCATCCTTACCCTGTCAGCTTGCTGAGGGGGTTAACCAATTTGGCCATGTGGATCAGAAGGTCTGTGGTTCGAATCCCAGCACGGAACTCGGAAATTGTATGGCCGCTACATTGGCGCCCGGCGGGGGGCTGAGCACGTTTATATGAAATTTGAGCAACATAAGTCTCAGTACCTTGCTATCCGGCCCGGGACGTGCTTTTGCTGACGGGCGAGTAACTAATGTAGTGGCTATCAGTATCTCGTCTCTTGGGATAGATTATAAATTCCAGCTCGAGATCAGAGACACGCTTGCATTCATCACATCAATCAGAGTTCAAGATTATTGGGTGATGAAGTCAAGAACATAAACGTTTAAAATATTGTTTCCACTGAACATCGAGGGCAGGATTGCAATATGAGAGATAACATAAGTAATCAAATATATTTTGGACACTAGAATACTGATAATACCACTTCATAGCATACCACTCTCACACATCGCAATTTGTACAGAGTATGGTCAACATAAATGCACATTCATAGCAAGTATAGCTGTATGTTACACATTAAATAGCATACACGTATACGGTCAACTGATCACAACGTTGCATGGAGCTCAAAGTCAGTTGTTCATAACATATATTATGGCACAAATATATTAAAGTACAGAGAAAACATGTCAGTGTACATGCGCTATTTTGCCCAGATGGTAACATGACAACAGTCTCGTCAAATAAAACACCCCCACCCCCCACCTCCCAAAAAATGATAAAAATTAAAAAAAATAAAAATACAATACCCCTCCCCCAACCGCCCCACAACAATTAAAACAAAACAAATTAAAAACAAACAAACCCCACCCCAAAAACAACAACAACAACAACCAAAAAAACCAAAACAAAACCCCAAACAAACAAAAGAACAAAAAACACAAAAACCAAACCAAAACAAAACAAAACAAAACAAAACACAAAACAAACGAATTCAAAAACAGAGTAAACAAAACATAACAAAAAACAGAAAATAAAAAAACAAACAACACCGATTAAACCCCAAAGAAACCCCGCCCAGTTACACATCTCGCAATATGATGTGCTAATGGATACATTACGGGACATATATAATACTGATATATACGCCTGGACAATAATCGTGTGACTTTCTTAGCACTCTTCCACGAAAGAGCACATGCTCGATTGTACCTCATGTGCCAAAGTTGGTGCCATGTATAAAACGTGGATTTCTCAACAAATTGTCTGGTTTTCAGGATGTTCACCCTTTGTCCCTTGAGAGACGATTTGAATAAACCAAACATGTATGACGGATTAACCCACACACCGGGGTTACAAATATTCAGTATACAATTATTTCTAAAATATATTGATTAAACTGCTATGATTTCATTGAAAGGTAGAACTGGTTTCAGAAGCTTAAACATGCGCCTCCTCAACACGCAAATGGCTTCAATGCTAGTTCTCAACCTATGCATTATGTGTAAAGAGACCAAATAGGAACTCTTCTGACATACACTGCTTCAAAATTTAGCATAAATAAGTAAGTCAGATACATACATGTGACTAGTGGGCAAGTGTGGGTCAGGATGATCAGGAACCTCCAGAGCGCGCTGTTCACGGTGAGGACGATCTGCCACATGCTGCCGTCCATGATGAAGCCGTGGCTTGAATCAGCGTGCAACTACACCGACTACCGGGACTACGGCGTTAGTCATTCCCGAAGATCATCCCATGGATGTTATGCTGCCTTTTCATAAGAACCTCATCAAACGGTTTAGATCGTTGATGTGTGACTACTCTCACGACTGTCAAGAAAGTCGTCATTTACCAATTACTTTGAAGTGAGAAAATAAAGAACACTGCTTTCTAGTTCTGAGGGGTTTAAGGAATGCGTGCAAGGACATGTGACTTATCTGAGTGGTATTTTAGAAGTTGAGACGTACAATATAGAACAAATTTTATGGATAACAACTTCTTTATTTCGTGAGAGCCATGTTTCGATACAGATTCTTGTTCCTGCTTGTCAATGGTACAAAACTGACTGACTGACTGAGTTTAGTTTTACGCCGCTTTTAGCAATATTCCAGCAATATCACGGCGGGGGATACAAGAAATGGGCTTCACACGTTATGCTCATGTGGGGAATCGAACCCGGGTCTTCGGCGTGACGAGCCAACGCTTTAACCACGAGGCTACCCACCGCCCCGACATTGGTACAAGAATCTGTATCGAAACGTCGCACTCACGAAATGAAGAAGTTGTTCTCTATTCTATATCGAGGACATGTGGGCTACAATCACCAGTGATAAGTAACTGCGAGTAGCACCATTTTGTATATTAGACATTGTCAATTGTTGAAGACATGTCGAATACGCATAGAAAGAACGAATCGAAGTCACGGACACAAAGAATAAACGTTATAAGATGCTGGCTACTCCATGTATATTGCAGTCGAAAAGCGTACACAGGATCACGATTATAACGAACTGAAATCAGTGGTTCCTTTGAATCCATTATATCCTTCGTTATAAACCGGATCTTTTATTTGAATGTAAACTGACCGGGATCAGAACACAACCATCCACGTACACATTGCCAGTTCCACCCACAACCAGTTGCAGTAAGAAGCAACGGGATCGGGTGGTCAGGCTCCCTGACTTGGTTGACACATGCCATCGTATCCCAATTGCGTAGATCGATGCTTATGCTGTTGATCACTGGATTGTCTGGTCCAGACTCAATTATTTACAGACAGCCGCCATATAGCTGGAATATTGTTTAGTGCGGCGTTAAACAACAAAACAACAAACTAAAAAGTAGGGCTGGATATTGCCCTGATTCTCATATTGCGATACATTGCGATAACTCAAGAGATATTGCAATATATATTGTGATATACTGACTGGAGGGTTTCTGCCCAAGAGTGAGTGAGTGAGTTAATATTTAACGTCACATCGGCAATATCTCAGCCATATCGTGAAGAAACCAATTTATACAAATAAAAATGAAAACATTTTGGAGAGTAAAACCTGTCGACGATGGACAGTAAAAATACTAGAATATCACACATATGAACATAAAACTAGCATGTCAAACTAAAAGATTTTAATTAAAGAAGACAATACAATATAAAACACGGGCAATAGATCGCCAACAACTGAAGTTAGATCACCATACTAGGAACCATGGGGAATTTTCTGCCCAAGAGCGTACATCATAAATTCATAATAGCTCTCTGTGTGCGACATCTTAGTTACTGTTACATCATACTGTCAGGCTCCCAGTTCTCATTGTGCATGGCGGTATGCCAATGGTATACAGATAAATAAACTGATATAGAACCTTATGGTGGAATGTTTAATTGAGGTATTGCAACAAAGGTTTGAGAACATAATGATACAGTATAGTAATAGTATAACATGTTTCATGGTCAGTGCTTCAACAGAATGCACTTCAATGCAGCTTGCAGTTATTGTTACTGTATGTCAGTGATTAATTCACATTCAACTCCACTATAATCACGTGTTAACATAACTATTGCAAAATGAAACAAAAACAAGATTTAGGTGAACTGCTTGAGCTTAAACATCTAAGATCTTTGACCAGAATATTGTTATACACTTAGTGAGACTTAGACCTTTAGAAACACTTAGATCTTTATGATAAACTGATAACATATGTCTTGTTATGAAACAAGCAAAAATAACAAAATAATGGGAATTTTGAAATGTCCAATCATAGCCAGAGCCTCTACTGATGAGTCCAAATAAAGAATTGGTCCATATCTGGCCACTTTATAATAATTCCTCCAAAGTGTAACATATGAAACCATTCAAACCCACAAAACGTAACGCATTTGGAAAAATATTTGGCACTTATATACATACTCCCACTTGTAAAATGTTATATGAAACCAACAGAAATAAAAGTATATTTGGCACTTTTAGAGCACATTTTTTGCTTTGGAAATCAAGGGCAGATAATGCAAAGGGAGCTAACTCTGGATGACCCATTGTATTGCCGAATCGGAACCTTATAGCGATAATCGTAATGCTAGATACTATACCGGTATATACCGGTTTACCGGTGATATTGCACAGCCCTACTAAAAAGCCTTTATATGTATTAGCAATGTTCCCTCACAACAGCTGCAAGCGGTTCACCTGAACACAATGACGATAAATGCCTACGGTTTTCAAGTTTCAGATTAGGTGTGATATGTCTCTATTGATGTGTGTGCTTTAAAGGGTTGAGACACTGTTGATTAATTGCTTGTTGCCTGTCATCTTAAATCCTCTTGCTTAACTCGTCGCAGAAATGTATCCTTCTATTTCTATTCTCAGTTGCATGTATATCTTGTGTTGGGGCAATGGTAATTTATTAACACCTATAAAACATCGACTGAAAGGGCTGAGAAAGTAATTTATACAGATAGATGGCGTCTATTCGTGCATGTTTTCAGTCAATCCTCTCCGAAATTAATGTTCCGAAAATTAGCACCGAATACAAGTGAGACGTATCTAATATCCAAAAAGGCAAAATATCATTTTCAGCCAATTAAGCTAGGGCACCCACGGTATATTATGTGATAACACAATACCCTAAATTTATGTCGCATTCAAACTGTATGATACAACAAGTCAGTGGTAGGGAATAATCAGTCTCGATTCTCTGCCGAAACACATTGACGACAATTATTGAAGGGACCTGACACTTCACTATAGTTATTAATGAGTCCTATGTTTTGTAGTCCTACTTGAACAAGACGACCAACAGGGGCATGTAACCACGCTGTGAAAGGTATTAATGTTTTCTTTCGTTATATCATTCCGATATATTCATGCCGAATACGTTTATTTCCCAAACATGTATGTAGTCTCGTATAACATCCAAAGTAGTTATATTCACGATTTAACATGTTTTGCTACTTTGCCAAGAATTTAACTGGTTTGTCTTACCCCATAATGATTTCAGTTGCTGAGTGCAGCGTTAAACAACAACAACAGCAACAACAACAACAACAACAACAACAGCAACAACAACCAATCAATCAATCAATCATAACCCTTAAGTTTCCGATGACTTCTGTTCAAATAACACCCACAAATTCTCAAGGAATCGCGTACGAGATAGTCATTTTACCTCCAGTATTCAACAGGAAATGATCAATTCTTCTGGGTGGCTACCTTGTAATCTGGAGCTACGTGAAGTTAGAAACGGATTCGGGATTGGGGATGTGAAAAAAATATTCAGATTTGGGATTCATATCCTGAAACCCGAATGTTAATAAACTCAGATTTGAGGTTCAAATATCAAAAACTGTAGTTTGGTTGTTTATGTTTTTAAGTTACCCAGGCATAAAACGAGCACCTAGTACATTTAGAAGGGGGGTGAAATAAAGAATATTGACATTGTTTGTCTTTCTTCGATCGTCATCGATGGTCGACGCCTGCAAGCAGCGAAGAGCTTGAGGACCATTCACAATCTCCCAGGGTGCACGGCAACGTCGAGGATAGATAAGTGTGACAGATGAAGGTGCAACGAGTATAGTTACAAGGACGCTGAAGTTCCGAATTCCAATTGTGTAAAAGAAATGCATAATAAGAGTTCAAATACCGAATACCGAATGCCGAGTGTCGAATCTGCAATAACACCGAATATGAAAAAAAAATCAGATTCGGGATTCAAATCCCAAATGTGAAAAAAAAATCAGATTTGGGATTCGAATCCCGAATGTGAAAAAAATAGTTCAGATTTAGGATTCGAATCCCAAATCCCCAATCACGAATCCGTTTCTAACTTCATGTTTCCGTCTTCTGTGAGCTGTTTGCAGCAGTAGCATGGCCTGTTACGACGTAAATTGTAATAAAAACGCAAATTGTAATACTTGCAGCAAATTGTAATAAACTTGACGTAAATTGTAATAAAAACGTAAATTGTAATAAAAATTGACGTAAATTGTAATACGCAAATTGTAATAAAAATTCACGTAAATTGTAATACTTTTCGTTGCGGTAAAATGTAATAATATTTACGTAAATTGTAATAACAGTTTTAATCACTCGTAAATACGCGGGTACTAGTTTTTCTTTGCATTTCATACATCAAATAAGCTTGTTAGGGCGATAACTCAAGAAAGAAATGATGGATTTTGTTCAAATTTGGTACCAAGGTATATTGGCGAGATTCACCGACACAAGTGAAATGGAGTGACCTTGAGATAATTTTCAAGGTCACAGCAAAAATCTGAGGGTTTTGCCAATATAAAGATTGTTAGCGCGATAACCCAAGAATGAATTGACAAATCTTAGCTAAATGACGAAAATGATATTCGTCCTGATATATAATCGATATAAACTGTCCTCTGTATCATGTCTTTTCGCAAATATCTTTTGAGGTTTTGATATGTATACATATAAAGTGGGGGTGGGTTTCTGACGGGTATATCTAACACACTTGCATGCATGTAGAGTCGGAGAGGTGGGTGGGTGTTCTAACGGGTATAACTACGAGGGGCGTTCAAATAGTAGTCAGCCTCACCTAGAATATGATACAAATGCAGCTGTTTTTATGTTTTATTTTTCTACATATTATCTGTCAGCCTCAAGCAAATTGGTTTTGCTATGTTGCAGCCTCACGATCCCATTTTGTGAGACTTTGTATCTTGGCTTGG